CCCAGCAGTGTTTATGACACCAATTTCTTTTAATCTAGGTAAGCAACATTTACAAATTACAGTAAACTATGGTACAATATGAGCAACAAGGAACAATTTTCAACATGTCACAGGATCCTGAGTTCACTCTTCTCCTAAGCAGCCAAGGAAGAAGATTTGGATTATGTTTCTGTTTCAGTTAGCAAAATGTAGTTACCAGGAGTTGAACTCAATCATGCCAGAAGCTGTAATCATGTGTATATTTACTAATACATTTTTCTTTAAGAAGTAGGGGTGTGCAAAATGTTTTGCTTTGAAATGTTTTAGGTGAAAAATCTTATGAAGCATCCTGCCCCAAGTGAAAAACTACTGCTTTGGGGAGTGGGGAAGGGAGGAGATAGCATTTTGAAGTTCATGCTTCAAGCTCAGGTAGCCTCCAAAATACATGAAGTAGAATTGTGGGAAATGAGATGTTTTACAAAAATCTCCCCCCCACACACACACACAATATTTCAAACCAAAACACTTTGCTTACCTGTATTAAGTTCTATTCATTCCTTCAAATAAACAGTTCAGAAATTATTTCAACATGTAAATTTTATTTTAAATTTTTAAAAATTATTTTCAATTTTAATTTTCTTTAACATTATTAAAAACAGAAAGCAAGTGAAATCATTTGGAATGGCTTCCTCATTCTTGAATATTACTGATATTTTTGTGAATGTACATCAACCTTATTTTTCAACTGTTACCAAGTAAAAAGTTGAGTATGGAACATTATGAAAACATTGCTATATAAAAAAGATAAAAATCAATCATTTTCTCTTACACATTTTCCTCAATACACAGTAAAACAATTTTATATGATTTTAAAATCCACTCCCAGATGAATTAAAATACATTATTTTAGCTATCAGAATTAAATTCTTTTCCAACTAAACAGAGTATTTAATACTGAATACAGAAGGTACTTTGCCTACAGTTCTATATCTGGGAGTAAGCCCTATTGAACTTAACAGGACTTGTGCCTGAATATACATGGAAGTTGTACTTACCCTTATATATCAGTTTCTGAAAAGAAATTGGAACTCCAGTTACTTGCTCAGTTAATAGAGCCAAATCATGTACTGTTGGTTGACTATCTTCTTGAGAATCAACCTGAAGATTATGTTTTTCATTGCCTAAAGAGAAACAACATGAAAACATATTCAGGTTATATTCAGGGAAAACATCAACTAGCATTAGAATCTTCTTTTTAAATCAACTTTGATCTTATACTACTGTCAGACTTCAGACTAGGCACAGCTCTAAATCTCAAATCTTTCAAAAACTAGGTAACAGCAGAAATTTCCAGGAATTTTGCTAGAAAAGTTATTGAATGCAGATAAGACAGAAATCATACTGTATATACATAGGAGCCTACTGCAGAAATCAAGCCATATACATGTGACAGCCCCAGGGTTTCAATCTCAATTTCCTTCCACTCTTGAATCAACAGACTTTTGACTATATGTTTTTCCACCTTGAAATTAAAATTCATGCAAAAGTACCAATAGAAGAGAATATGTGTAGCTCAGGGTTGAACTGTGGAGTCCTTGGGGTTCTCTGAGCTTGGATGTTTT